CCCCCCCCCCCCAGGCCCCCCCTGTTGAATTTCTGCCTTCTTTTTTTTCCCCCCCCCCCCCCCCCGCCAAGCTTCTCAAAGAAAGAAAAAAGCGCATCAACCTGTCGAGGGAATAGCGAACTAGCAGCGAGGGTGGAGGTGGTGGGGGCGACCCGGGTGCGGATCCTGCAAAGGCAGGATCGGTTCCCACGCCCAGCAGATGCTCGCTGAGCCCCCCCTCCCCTCTCTCCCCGCCAGACTCTCTCCAAGGGGTTAACGGGATAGAGGCGCGCAGTGGCTAGAGAGGCCTTAGTGGTGTGTTGGGTATTTTTGGGGAGGGGGGGTTGTGCAAAAGCAGCCAAGTCCCTTCCTTTCCTCTTCCGGCTTTGGACCCCCCTCCCCTTTTCTTCCTTTGCATGCGAGGGCTTTCCCTCTTCCTCCTCCTTGGATGCATCCTGGCCAGTGTTTGGGGGTGCCTGGCCCCTGGCGAGGACCTTCTGGGGCAAGAGGAGAGAACCTGAAAAAGCCGGGATTGCTGAAGTGAGTAAAGAGCCCAAACACACACACACACACACACACACACACCTATCTATCTATCTATCTATCTATCTATCTATCTATCTATCTATCTATCTATCTATCTAGAGGGTGTGTGTATAGACACGCACGCACACACACCCTCTTAAGATGTGTGGGTCCTTGTCTTTTTGGCTGCAAGGCTAAGGAGAGATCCAGGCAGGGACTGAGAGGGAGAGAGAGAGGGGAGCAAATCGGGAGCAGCCCCAGAGGGAGCCTGATCCTGCAAGCATTGCCCGTTTCTGTTGCCAGCCCATTGCCAAGGTCAGAGAGCTGGGGGTGGGGGTAGGGAGGAATAGATGGGAAGGGGTTCAGGACCCGTGGGAAACTAGGGGGTGGGGGGTGCTCTGGCCCCACTTAAGATGTGAGGACTCTTTCCAATTTGGATGATCTTTTAGAACTCCGGAGCTGAATGGGATCCTATATAGCAGGGGTCCCCAACCTTCGGCCTCCAGATGCTCTTGGACTACAACTCCCAGAAGCCTTCACCGCCACCTCTGCTGGCTAGGACTTCTGGGAGTTGAAGTCCAAGAACATCTGGAGGCCCCAAGGTTGGGGACCACTCAAGTCCAGCCCCTCTCGAGAGGGCACATGCGGGGGAACCGAACTCCCAGCCGGAGACCCAAACCACTGAGCTGTCCAACAGTTCCTGATGAGTAAACCATGGGTTAGGTGGGTGGCCTCTATCAATCGGTCAAATAAACACACGGTGATCGATCTGGCTCACAGCATGCCCGGTTTGATCATTGCTGGAAGGAAGGAAGGTCTGTGTCATGGGAGTGGCAGTGCCCGCCTGGGGGGGCTAAGACCACAGAAAAGCAATTTGAAAAGACTGCCAGATGCGTAAGACTTAGAAACGGAGGTGGTGTGACGGTAGCAAAAGTGAACTGGAAAAGGGGCCGGTTGTCATTAAGGGGTAATCTCCAAAAGATCCAGAAAAATCCTCTTTGTATGTGAAGGGTCAATGAGAGCAGGAGGCACCGACTGCAGAAGGCTGCTTTACTTGGAACAACACAGATTTCCATAAAATAAATACAGTAATTTAAAATAGTTTAAATAAACAAATCCTTTAAAAACAAATGAATAAATGTTTTAAGGACATGTCTGTCAATATCCTGGCGCCTTGAGAACAACCCAATGTTGAAGGAACTAAATCCATGCAACAATTGGTGAGCTTTGTATCATCACCATCATCATTACCATCATCATCATGTACCATCAAGCCAATATCTGACTGATAGCGATCTTTTCTAGGGTTTTCTAGGTAGAGAATACTTTGAAATGATTTACCCTTCCTTTCTTCTCAGGAACCTGGGATTGTTGGATCTACTGATGTAAGGTTTAAGTTTAATGTGGCTGTTAAAGGGCTGTGTATAATATCAAAAAGTTCGCTAAAGTATTTATGAATGGGATTGTGTCTAAAGATGTCTATAGGAAAAAGTGGGGGTAAGTTTCCTTCTGTCCCTTCTGATCACATTATTGTTGCCTAATTTGTAGAGAAAAGAAAATAGCTTGCATTTATTTATTCATAGGACTGGTATATAGTGGAGGCTTTTAAAAAGGGGTAAGGTAAAATAATGGAGGATGTCAGTGACTGCTGACAGAGTAAACTCAGTAGAGCCTCCAGTTTTAGGAGCAGTTTATCTCGATGCAAAGGTAGATACCAAAAAGCCATCAGTGGCTGAAGCCGGAAAGACACACCAAGGAGCAGATCTTGGAGGCTGTGATCCTGGAGCAGTTCCTGGCCGTTCTGCCGCCGGAAATTCAGGGCTGCGTCCGGGAACGAGGGCCAGAGACCTGCGCCCAGGCTGTGGCCTTAGCAGAGGGTTTCCTTCTGAGGCAGCAGGAAGCTGAGAGGCCACGGCAGCTGGTGAGGATGTTTGGTGATCCTTCACTGTCCTCCTTATTTTTTGACGGAAGGACAGGGTCATCTGTGGGTTCCAGAGCAATACAGTAGGGCCTCCGTAGCCACGGAATCACTTATTCACAGTCTGAAAATGTTTCAAGATATTAAAAGAAAAATCCTAGAAATATATATTTCTACAGATGAAATTACCAGAACTGGCCACTACAGAGAGCCAGAGAACACACAGTCTCTATATACGACTCGCTGTTAAATGAGCATTTGCTATTATCTGTTATTTTTCAGCACCTGCAGGTGGGCTTGAAACCAATCCCCCGTGGGCATGGGGGTCCTACTGTATGCAATGCAGGGATATGACTGAAATGGGACTGGTTTGGATGTCATGCTAAGCCAGGCCTGGGCAGCCTGAACCTTGATGTATGCTTTAGAACAGAGGTCCCCAGCCCCTGATGCCGGTCCATGGCCTAAGCCGGACCGGGCTGCAGAGACAGACCTCCCCCCCGCACCCCGGCTAGCACTTCCCTCCCCACAGCTCATTTGTGCCTGCACCCACGAGTGCTTTCCCCTACCCCTTCGTGAATGTGCACGAGTGCCCCCTGAGCACCACGCGGCCCTTGGCACATGCGCATGAGCACACGTGTGCCCGCATGAGCACTGTGCCGTCCTATGAGCATGCGCACACCCGCATGAGTGCTTCACTCCTTTGCACTCGCGCACGAGCACTCCTTTGTGCATGCACACGAGCGCATGGGGGGTGCTCCGCCTTCCCCAGCCGGTCCATGGGGCTAAAAAGGTTGGGGACTGCTGCTTTAAAATACATCAGCCAGGAGTCACAGATTGTGGGTGCTATCATTTAAAACATCTCAAGGATCCCCATTGTATCATGCATTCATTCATTCTTGTTTCCATCACACGTTCCCTCTCATCAACTAAAGGCAATGGAGATAACTTCTCCTGTTCCCTACTTTATCTTTCCAACAACCCTGTGGAGGACAATAGGTTTTAGTCAGAGGAAGAGAGAGGGAGTGACTGAAAGCCACTCGTTCCCTCAATTTCATGGCTCAGTGGGGAACCAGAAACTGGGTCTTCCAAGTCCCAGCCCAGTTCTCTAACCAGTACACCCTGTACAAGGAACTGGTGGGGGTGGGGAGTAGAGCTCCCCACTATAGGTGGACACGATGCACTTAGCCGGAATGGTCGGCTGCTGGAGGAGGCAGGGAAGGGCTGGCCCAGCTCCTGCCTGGTTTGGAGCACCGGCAGAGAAGAAGGATCCTGGTGGCGCAGAAAGCACAGTGAGTGGCCTGGCTGACCTGGGGGTGGGTGGATGGTGGAGGATGGGAGCTCAGCTGTATGAAGGGCTTCTTGCTCATCTTTAGGGAGCTTGAAACATAGAAAAACTCCTCTCTTAAAAGAAGAGACTTTTTTGAACCCACCATTTGTAACTTTTGGCAGGAGGTACGGGAATTCTGGGGGCACCGTTTGGGGCCATGGGGAAGCACATGCATCCTCTTACCCGCCCGTGGTGTAAGCAGTACGCTAGCGGGATCCAGGATCTCGTTTGGGATAAGCCAGTTTTCTGCACCAATAATGGTTGGGAAACTTGATATGGAAAGTCTGACATCCAGAACCTTCCACTTTTTTGCCAATTTTTTTTCCTCCTCCCATAGCTTAAGAGATAAAATACATAAGTAGCCCACAAGCAGTTTCCCTTCAAAACCATCCCCTTTGGTTGCAGAGCCAGAAGTTGGGAGTTTGATTCCCCTACTAGAGAGAGGATTGCTGTGACATTTCACACTTTCTCTGCTACCTGTACTCGAACCGAAAAGCAAGTGCAAACATATTTATGAGTAGTCTGGCTTTACTCACCAGATTACTCCTAAACATGTCCAAACCCACTTATAAGTTCAAACATAGACTTCAGAAAAAAATACGACACGTCATAGAAATCCTCCCCCTTATTATTACTATTTGAGCACCAAGATTAACTTTAATTCCTAATTAACTTTTTTTGTTAATTAGGAATCCCTGGATACGGCCACATGTCCCCACCCGAGAGCAGGAGCTGAATGTGTTGCATTTTCATACCTTCATAAGCTTCCTTTGTGGATTTTTAAATCTCTCCCTTTTGTTGTTGTTAATGTTGTGCAAACAGAAGCTTCCGAGTCTGTTAGGTACATAGATTTGAATCAAGGCCTTAAGCAAATAACTTGCTACTTAATTTTATTTTAAGCATTGTTGTTGTTGTTATGTGCAGTCACATCGCCTCCAATTTATGGAGATCCCATGAATGAACAATCTCCAAAAGGTTCTGTCCTCTCCTGCCTTGCTTAGCTCCTGCAAACTCAAACCTGTGGCTTCCTTTAGGGAGTTAGCCTATCTCGTATTTGGCCTTCCTCTTTTCCTGCTGCCTTCCACCTTTACCAGCATTATTGTCTTCTCCAGAAAATCCTGCCTTCTCAGGATGGGCCCTACAGCCTCAACGTCAACATTTTTGCCTGTTCAGGCTTGATTTGATCTTGGACCCACTTGTTCATCTTTCTGGCAGGGTATCCCCAAAGCTCTCTTCCAACACCCTATTTCAATTTAATCCATTTATTTTCCTAACAGCTTTCTTTACTTTCCAGCTTTCACACCCCTATATAAGCATTATATATATGGATATAATAGTATTTTAAAAATATCAAAAGGATTCCACTCTTATAATAAAACGATGGAGTCTTTGCCTCTTGTCCTTTCACCTGATATAATGGCACCGCAGATTTCAACAAATAATGAGTCCTTGTTTCCTGTTCCAGATCCTGGATTCCTTTGAAGAAGTAAGAATGAATTTTCCAAGGGCCCAGCAGGTCTGCCTGAGTGCTTCTCGGAAGCAAGGTAAAATGGGGCACTACCATTTTAAAGCCTCAGTGGTTTCCTGGGTGCTTGGCGTCCCTCTTTATTGATCCCTGCTCGCAGGGCAAATAACACCTTACATCAGTTGGTTGGTGGAAGGTAAACCTTGACTTCTGCAGAGGTGGGGGCCACGGTAGCTCTCTGAATGTAGTTGACTTGCGGCTCAGTGCTAACCGGCATAGACAGTGGTGAGATGTTTGGGAGGTGTGGCTCAGCAATCTTTGGAGGGCCATGTCATCTTTTTTTGCAGAGTTTGGATTTTTGGTTAAAATTCACCTTTTGATACACAGCAGAATTGCATAAAGACTCACAGAGGAGAATAGCTTCAAGTTCCTCATAGAGTCCATCACTTTTCTTATTAACTGGCACTTACAGTCTCAATAAACACACTCTTGAGAAATGAATAGTACGAAGAATAAAAAACATTTCATTATTTTCCATTGAGAACCGAGAACAACAAAGCGACCAACTGATAACTGTCAGATTTCTACAACCCCAAAGCAAAGGGTGCTGCTTGTATAACTTGCCCTGGGTTGTGAAAACTGCAACACACCTTCCTTCCAACCGCTCTTCCATATTTCATTATTCTATTGCAGTGGTCCCCAAGGAACCGAGAACAACAAAGCAACCAACCGATAACTGTCAGATTTCTACAGCCCCAAAGCAAAGGTTGTATAACTTGCCCTGGGTTGTGAAAACTGCAACACACCTTCCTTCCAACCGCTCTTCCATATTTCATCTATTGGACGAGAGGGAGAAAAATGTAGAAGAGCAGAGGCCCTTGGAAAGCTGGCACATTCATAGCTGTGGAGTTCTGGTCTTGAGTTACCCTTGCCTTTGGTCAATATTGTTGTTTTGTGATGTCTGACCTGCAGTGCCCTAGTAGGTCTTTCAAAAGAAGGTAAATAAGGTAGACTTTCAAGTAGTTTACTATTCACACACACACACACACAGAGTGATATTTTTTGGCCCAACAGGGATTTGAACTCGGGTCTCCTGAACCCAAGTCTGAAACTCCTATCACGAGTCTCCTTTAGATATAATAGCAAAGTCATGATTGCTGCAGTCAAGGCAGTGATAAGAAACCAGAGGGCGCCTTTGGATTCACCAAGCAACTTACTGTAAATCAGGTGTTTCATCTGAGCAGCAGCCCCTTGAGTAGAGGAAAGTAGCGGCTCTAAGGTCTGCGGGGCAGCGAATCTTGTTTTGAGTTTTAGTCCAATCTTTAAGGGAGCCATTCTGATTAGGTCAACCTGTTTGGGGGTGTTGGTGGTCAGGTTCAGCACCATGGATAGCTCCCAGGATAAGCCTTACAACAGGCACCATTCCCAGGGGGAGGTAGAGAGCAGAACCAAATAACTTCCTAACAGAGAGCTCGGGTCTACAGTCCTCCGCCTTCCCTTTACCTTTCATACTCTTCCTTCTGCAGAGTTTGAGAATGTGGCATTTGTGGAGTGACACCTCTCAGCTGGATCAGATCAATCTCTGTGGGATTCTGGGAACTGTATTTTTGAAATTCAGCTTTTCCAAGTTCTGGTCTTTTGGACTGTAGTCCTGAAGCTTGAGATTGCCTTTCTAAGCTGGGGTTTCCCCATCTCTTTATTTATTTTGTTTCGTTTGTTTTCATTGGCACACTGGGTAAAACGTAGGAGCATGTAGATACGTTGGTTTGGACCACTGCTGCCTTGGAAAATTCTGGGAGATGTAGTCCATAAACCCACATGTTAGTAAAATGCTATTCAACAGGCAAGGAGTACCTTTGGCTGCCTTGCATCCTTTCAAGGAGAAACGCAGGAAAAAAATATTTTAAATACATAAATAAATTTTCAAAGCTTTCAGATTTCAGCTCTCAGAAGACCCATAATCATCATCATCGTCATCTTAGAAATGGAAGATGATAATACCAAAACATCTGGAGGGCTGAAGTTTCTCCAGTCCTGCAAAATTTATATTTTCCTATAAATCTTATGCAATAAGATGCTTTTTAACAAAACCAAAATTCATAGCTTAGTGGTTTAGGTCTCCGGCTGCAGAGCCGGAGAGGTTGGAAGTTCAATTTTCCAGCACTGGCCCACTGCAAAGTACAGTGGGGCCCCGCTAGACGATTACCCCGCAAAACGGGTAATCTGCAGGACAATGACTTTTTGCAATCGCTATAGCAATTTACAAAATGATTTTTCCTATGGGGGATTTCTCTGGATGATAATTTGGTCCGTGCTTCGCAGACCATTTTTCACAAAACGATTTTTACAGCTGATCGGCACTTCCGTTTTTCGCAAGACAGAGATTTTACAGCTTCGCAAAAGGGCTTTCCTATGGGTGATTTTCGCTGGACGATGATGATTTTTCCCCATTGGAACACATTAAATTCAGTGTATTCCAATGGGGAAACACTTCGCAAGGCGATGTTTTCGCAAAACAGCGATTTCAATGGGATGAATTAACATCGTCTTGCAGGGCACCCCTGTACTGTAGAGCCAGCCTTATGTGGACTGGGCAAATTGCACAGTCCCAGAGCTTCCCCTGGAGGAAGGGAAGGGGAAGCCACTTCTACATATTCTCTTCCTGGAAAACTCTGAAAAAAGTTACCATAAGTCAGAATTGGAATCCAAATCAAAGCAGATCTGAGACGGTTGTCCAGTTTTCTCTTGAATGCTTGCAGTGGTGGTGCCCTCACCACCTCCTGAGTTCATTGGTTTCATTGTCCTACTGCTCCAACAGTTAAGAAGTTTTTTCCTGATTCAGCTGAAATCTGGCTTCCTGTCGCTCAGTTGATTATTGTGTCCTGCACTCTGGGATGATCGAGAACAGAGACCTGTTCCTCCTGTGAATGACAGCCTTTCAAGTATTTGAAAAGTGTTATCCTATCACCCCCTTGTCTTATTTTCTCAAGGCTAACCATGCCCAGTTCTTTCAGTCTTTCCTCATTGGGGGGCTTGGTTTCCAGTCCCCTGATCATCCTTGTTGCCCTCCTCTGAACTTGCTCCAGTTTGGTGTTTAGTATTATTACTGTATAACATGTTGTTGTTGTTGCTATTACTACTACTACGGTCATTCTCTTTTCTTCCAGGAGCAGGCAGGCTGGCCAATGACCAGGAAAGGCAAGTTTCGGCTCAGCAGGAGTATCTGGAGCGAGAGGCTTTTGGGACGTCCCTCCCGAAACCCCGGGAGAACCTCCCTCCGCACGAGCCAGGCAAAGCCTCAGAGAACCAGCCCCGCGCAGCAGAACGGCACCAGGGGCTCCACCCGCCGAAGAGAGCGTCCGAACCGGTCCCTTGCCGTAGGGACTACAAAGACTTGGGCGAGATCCTTTTCGAAGAGAGGATGCAGGAGAGCCAGCGGCAGAAGCGGTGCGTCGTCCTGCGCCGGCGGATCCACACCGAGGAGCGGCTGTACAAGTGCCAGGACTGCCGGAAGAGCTTCGACCACCGCTCGCACTTCATCCGGCACAAGAAGATCCACACGGGGGAGAAGCCCTTCCAGTGCTCGGACTGCGGGAAGAGCTTCAACCGCAACTCCAACCTGACCACCCACATGAGGACCCACACGGGGGAGAAGCCCTACACGTGCGCGGACTGCGGAAAGAGCTTCCGCTGGAGCTCAGACTTCATCGTCCACGAGCGGACGCACACGGGGGAGAAGCCCTACAGCTGCGCCGACTGCGGCAAGGCCTTCCGGCGCAGCTCTAACCTCACCGCCCATGAGCGCACCCACCGGGGAGAAAAACCCTATAAGTGCTTGGATTGTGGGAAGAGCTTCACCCGGGGCCTGTACTTGATTGCACACAAGAAGACCCACACGGGCGAATGAGTGGGGTTTTCCGGAGGGGGCGCTGTACGAGTCCTCTTATGGGTTCCTTTCAGGGAGGGAGTCAGTGGCTTCCAGACCATTTCTGTTTGGTGGCGGGAGGCAGCCATTGTGGGCAGGATCTGCCTACCTTCCACACAACTCATGGGCTTCCCAGCTTCATTTGACCAACCCTAATGGGGAGGCTGGTTGCAAGACAAAGAAAGCGTTGGGCCTGCTCCAGGAGAGCACTAATCACATCCACCTGAGTTTGGTCAAATTCCTTTTTTTTTGGGGGGGGGGCTGCCTCCCAGAATCACCCAGCCAGCCTGGCTAAAGGCAGGAGCAGTGGTCCCCAAAAAGTCAAGTTCCTGGATATTCACCTTAGCGCCGTCCGTGGTAGTTCACGAAATAAAACCACGTCACATTTTAGCAACTGGTCAAGGTGGTCGAGAGGTAAAATATAGAACCTCCGTGGTCAAAGGCAATATATCTGCGAATACCAAAAGGGAGGGCCCCCAAGCCAGAGAAGGAAGTCCCTGTTCAACTAAGGAATGAGTTATTGTGATGAATTAGCCTTAGCCACCAGAAAAGAAATGGCAGGCCTTCATTTCTCAAAACACCTCATGGCTGGTTGAGGCAGTGAGTTCTGGGACACGGAACTACAGTAGAGACCCATGTTTGATCTGCTCCACCTTTTTAATAATCACCTTTTGAACTGCAGAACTGGAAGGTCAAAAAGGGTCCCAGTGGGGGAATTGAACTCCCAAACTCTGGCTTCCGAGCCAGAGACCTAAACCACTGAGTTCTCCAGCAGTTTTTATGCTCTCCCTACCCCCAAAACCCCCTAAGTATTTCAATATATACATTATATATAAATATAAAATGGAGATTACCGGGGGGGGGAGAGAATTACAGGGGATGGTACTTTTTCCCCCTTCCCTTCCTCCACCTCCTGCTTGGCAGCTGTTTTTCCTCCCACCTGTGAAATAGGTCTAAAAGGCAAATAGTCTGGGCAAGACCTCCCCTTTTTAGGGGCGCACTTTCCAAACTTGATTTCTGACGGCACACTGCAGAAATCTGAATTTTTAGATTATAACCCCCCATTGTGTCCTTCTGAAATAGTTCCACTTGTATTTAAACCGATGTAGATGATATTTATATACTGTATTTTCCAACCATTGTCCTTTGGCCGTTTGATTTCCTCTCCTGGCTGTCCCTCACAAGATCCTCTTCCCTCCCGCAGGCTGTGGCCTCCCGACATAAGCTCTTCTAATAAAGAACCTCTTCTGTGGCGATGTCTGTATACTTGAAAATGAAGACTAAATGTATCTTCTGCCCTGTCTTTTAATAATAATAATAATTCAAGATTAAACCTTCTTTCCTTGTGTGTGTGTGTGTCTACGATGCTCTTCAGAAATGAAAACAAGCCATGAGAGTGACAGCCTGGTTCTTCTCTTTAAATCTATTCCTGGGTATCCATGAACTTTCGAAATTGGGTGACTGAGGTGGGGTGGGGAAGGTAAGGTAAGGTAAGGTAAAAGGGTTTAAAAAGGGAAAGGAATCTTCTCTGAGATCAGGCTCCTTTCTGGGAAGAAGGTATGGGATACACTGCATTAAAGTATATAAATATATGGTTCATAAAAGAGTAATATTCCTCAGTTTTGCATCTGGAAAATTATTTTGCACCCACAGAGGAGGATGCAGCTGGGCAACTGAAATGTGGGACAAAAGAGGGACCGTTTTTACCAAAGTCAGATTTCCCAAGGGGGAAGCAATAAAGGGAACACTTTCCTCCAGTTCACATTTCTGGTACTCTCTAGCCCAACCAAGATCTATTGTTTTAATCCTTAAACTAACCTCCTGGTGGTGGTTGTAGGTTTTTTGAGCTGTCTGACCATGTTCTGGGTTTTTTTTCTACCGTTTTGCCAGTCTCTGTGGCCGGCCTCTTCAGAGGACAGGAGTGGCAAAACGTTAGAAAGAAAATCCCTCGGAACACAAACAGCCCGAAAAACCTACAACCATCAGATCCCGGCTGTGAAAGCCTTCGCGAATACATTAATCTCCTGTGTGTTCGATTAACAGTACCATTTGCCTTGACAAGCCAAATGTTAGCGGCTGCTAACTTCACAGTGCCAAGTTTCCCCATCATCTCCCATCAGTGCTGGGTGTTCTGGATTGCAAGACCCTGTGACTGACCAAAGAAATTCTGCTGCTTGAGATGAACAAAAAACAAGCAGAGGGTGACCCATCCCACAACAGGGCAAGGAGCAAACACAGTTTTAATACAAGGTGATCAGACAGCGCCCTCTCCTCTTCTTGAAGGCAGAGGACTAGTTGGATGGGTAGAGACGGACAGAGGCAGTCCCGTTAATACACAGTCCTCTTTCTCCAAGACCGTCATTTCCCGCTGCCTCCCACCATTTGTTGAGAAAATGACTTCATTCTGCCTAATAATATGGCCAAATCTACAGAGGTGAAAGCTTGGATTAGTCCTAGTGTGTAAGGAAAATTGAAAAGTGTTGTGGCACCTTAAAAGCTGACAGATTTCTCCCTTAACATCCTAAGACTCTGGAAGTAAAAACAGATCTCTTGGTCTTTAAGGTGATATGAAGTTTTTACTAGAAGACTAGGATTAGCTATTTCTGAAGGCAAAAATGCGGAAGCCGAGGCTGTCGTACTTTGGGCCCATGACGAGAAAGCAGGGTTCTCTGGAAAAGACAATAATGCTGGGAAGGGTGGAAAGTAGCAGGAAAAGAGGAAGGCCAAATACGAGATGGACCGAGACCCAAAAAGACCCCACAGGTTTAAATTTACAAGAGCTGTGCAGGGCTGTTGAGGACAGGATATTTCAGAGACCACTCATTCATAGGTCACTATAAGTCAGAGGCAACTTGGAAGCGCATAGCAACAACAAAGACCATCTGGTGCTCAAGCTAAAATCTGTCAACTGACCAAAGAACATAATACGATACTAGACTTCCGTGACCCATCCAGTCATTGCAAGACAGTGAGATGTAGGGCCAAATAGCGTTTAGTATGTTGTTTCTATCTTAATACCGTTTTTATTGAAAATTTTCTTCTGTATAAATACTGAGGCTGAAACAGAATTTTATTGCAGCAGGAAAAAAAATTCAAGATACATACTAGGTGAATAATCCCAACCCTTTAACTCCTCCCATGTGCAGGATTAATTTGCTTGATGACATCACATTCATGTTGGCATCCTTCCGTCTCAAGAGACTACAGTAATGTACTCTGAATGGAGGTCTTGGAACAGCATCTAGTGTGGCTGAGAAGGCCAATTCGAGAGGGACAGTTACTTTCACACTGAAGACAAATACAATCTGTCTCCTGTCCAGCTCCCTGGTTTTGCTGGTTTCGGGACTGCCTCTTTGCCTCGGCCTTCTGGACAAGGGTCTCTTCAAAATGCTGCACCGCCTGCCTCCCAAGCTGAATGCCCAGATGTCAAGGTTTCCCATCTGTTGAGGTCCATTCCTAAGGCTTCAGATCCCGCTTGCAGATATCCTTGTATCGCAGCTGTGGTCTCCCTCTGGGGCGATTTCCCTGCACTAATTCTCCATACAGGAGATCTTTTGGAATCCGACCATCAGCCATTCTCATGACATGTCCAAGCCAATGTAGACATCGCTGTTTCAGTAATGTATACATGCTAAAAATTCCAGCTCGTTCTAGGACTACTTTGTTTGGGGAACTTTGACCTGCCAGGTGATACCAAAAACACATTGGAGGCAACACATACAGAAGGTGTTTAGCTTCCTCTCCTGCTGTGCACAAAGGGTCCAGGACTCACTGCAGTACAGGAGTGTGCTCAGGATACAGGCTCTATAGACCCGGATCTTGGTATATGCCATCAGCTTCTTACTGAGCCATGCTCTCTTTGTGAGTCTAGAGAACTTGGTAGCTGCTTTGTCAATGCGTTTATCAAGCTTAACATTTAGAGAGAGAGTGTCAGAGATTGTTGAGCCAAGGTACCCAAAGTAATGAACAACCTCCAATTCTTGTGTGGAGATGGTAATGGAAGGAGGTGAGTCCACGCCCTGGCCCATGACTTGTGTTTTCTTCAGGCTGATTGTCAATCTATAATCTTGGCAGGCCTTGCTAAAACAATTCATGAGTTGTTGGAGGTCTTCAGCAGAGTGGGCAACAATGGCTGCATCATCAGCAAAGAGGAAGTCCCGCATGCATTTCAGCTGGACTTTGTCTTCAATCTCAATCTAGAGAGATTAAAGAGCTTTCCGTCTGATCTAGTCCAGAGATAAGACGCCTTCTGTTGCAGTTCCAAAAGCCTGCTTTAGCATGACAGCAAAAAAGATCCCAAACAGGGTCAGCGTGAGGACCCAACCCTGTTTCACTCCACAATGAATGTCAAAGGGATCTGATGTTGAGCCATCAAAAATGACAGTGCCTTTCATTCCCTCACGGAAGGACCTGATGATGTGAAGGAGCCGAGGTGGACATCCAATCTTGGCAAGTATAGTGTGACATCACATTAATTTGTGAATTAATTAACATTTCCTTAAGATCCCCTTAATTGGTTTGAGGTTCACACAGCCTTTTTCATCTTCTATGAATTTAAAAAAACCTGTTTTCCTCGCTCCCCGCCCAACTCACATATATATAGCTATATATCTAAAAACATTTCTGGAAAAATATGTACATCTGTTGGCAAATTCAGAAGTCCAACGAATACTTCCAGTATTAAATGCATGCATCGGCATGATTTTTTCCCCCTTCTTCTTTAACTTGCATCAGTGTGATTCGGGAGCTCGAAGGGTTGACTCCCATCCTGAGTTGTACAATTACTGGCCTCCGTTTTGCCGGGAGGAGGAGCATTTTCCGACTCCTCGTGGGACAGCGTGTCCGTCTGGGCCGGAGCAGTCCTACTCTCGGTAACATCGGGTTTGCTTTCATATAACTGTAAGGTGGGGTCCTGAAATCCGCCATGCGTTCTCTTATGTTTCGTAAGGCTGTCTTGGCAAAAGAAGCTTTGATCACACTCACAGCATTTGTACAGTTCCACTCCTCTGTGAATTCTCTGGTGCCTTTGAAGGGTCGAGTAAGAACTGAAGGTTTTCCCACACTCGGAACAAGTTTGGCCATTTTGGCCTTTTCCGCTTGCCGGGGTGGCTTGGTGTCCTAACAGGTCTGGCGGCTCACGGAGGCTTTTCTCGTACTCAGAACATCTGTAGGGTTTTCCTTGCAAATCAGGGATTCTTTGCAAAAGCGGGACCAATTTCTTCCCCTTATGAATCTTCCTTCTGTGCCGGCCAAGAGAGGAACGCTGAGAGAAATTCTTCCCGCACTCCGTACATTTGTGGAGTTTCCCTCCACCGTGGGTGTACCTGTGGCTTACCAGATCCATTGAACTGCCAAAACTTCTCCCACACTCCAAGCAGCTGTACACTTTCCGCTTCGCGCCCAGTGAGTTTTTCCCTGAGGGCTTCGCTTTGGCGTTTTCGTGGTCCTTTCTGTGCTTCCCCAAAGAGGAAGGCCGCGGGAAACTCTTCCCGCGACCAGAGCTTTTGTAGGGCTTCGCGGCAAGACGGAGGCAAGGGTGTCTGAGGAGGCCCAATTCCTTCGCAAAGCTTTTCCCACATTCGCGGCAGGTATGCGCTCCTTCCCGCGTGCCAGAGATCGTTGGCGAAAGGGGGGGCGATGTGCCCCCACCGTGAGTCTTCTTCCTATGCCAGTTTAAAGACCCTTTCCACATGAAAGACTCCCCACAGTCCTCACACTTAAAAGGTTTCTCCGCCACGTGGACGCGCTGGTGCATTTTTAAGTACCTCGGCTGGCAAAAGCGTTTCCCGCACTCGGCGCACGCGTAGGGGTTTCGCTTCTGATCGGACGTCCTTTTCAGGAGAGACTTGGGTATCTTTCTCTGGTGGCTCATTCCATGACGTTCAAAAGAAGACTGGTGCAAGAATTGCCTTCCGCAGTCGGCACATTTGTAGGGTTTACTCTGAGCGTGGGTACACTGATGTCTCCTCAGGATCGACGCTCGCTTAAATTTTTTCCCGCATTTAGAACATGAGTAGGTTTCCTCCTTCACCTTAGGAATCTGTTGCAAAAGGGGGTTCGTCTTTTCCCCCTGATGGAACCTCTTCCGATGCGTGTAAAGCGTTGAATCCCACAGAAAACTCTCTCCACAGTCGACGCAACGGTAGTATTTCTCTCCGGAGTGCATGCGCTTGTGTCTTCGTAGGCTTGCAAAAGAGCTGAATCTTTTCCCACAATCAGGACACGGAGAGGACCGTCCTTTCATATCGGGTGGCGTCTGAGGCAAGAGAGGAGCTAACTTCTCCCGGTGGCTCGTCTTTTCGTGATGGCACAAAGAACTTTTCAACATGAACCTCTTGGCGCAGAGCGTGCAGGCATATGGCTTCTCTCTCTTGTGGGCGCACCGATGTATCGTCAGAGCCGCAGGGCTAGGAAAACTTTTCCCGCATTTGGGACATGTAGAGGATTTCCCTGCCGGGACAGGGCATTTTGGGAGAAGAGGTGGCGGCTTCTTCCCCTTGTGAACCTTCCTTCTGTCTTCTCCAAGAGACAGACTCGACTTGAGACGCTCGCCACATTTCTCTCTGGAATGGATGCGCTGATGTCTTATGAGGTACGAGAGCCAGTGGAAGTTTTTCCCACACTGAGAACACGGGAAGCCTTCCCCCTGTACTCCAGGTTTGCTCTGGAGCAGGTGCCCTTCTGTCTCTCTTTCGCGGGCATCTCCATTTTCTATCAAAGCCACGTCCCACTTAAAACCTCCCTTACGCTCAACAGATTCATCAGTCGTTGACTGGTGGGCTTGCTGGTGTCTTTGAAGCTTCCAATTGTCTGTGAAGGCTCTCCCACATATGGGGCAGACTTTCCTTTTGGCGGGAGCTTTATGGAATAAAGACCTCGGCTTCCTTCTCCGGTGGATAACACGGTGTCTTTTATAGGAGGACATCGTCGCGAAACGCCTCTCGCAGTCGGTACATTTATAAGGCAGTTCTTGAGCGTGGATGTTCTGAGGTGCTGTCAGGCTTGACCGCGGCTCTATTTTCTCCTCACGCTCTACGGATGCCCTGGGCCTTTTTCTTGTGTGGGTTCTCTGATGCATGTCATGATCCTGTAGGCAGCTGAAGGTCTCCCCACACTCGCAGCATATATAAACGGTTACTTCCGGAGGAGGCAACTTCTCTCCCACATGGATCCTCTGGTGCGCCGCCAGCAATGTCCTTGATGGGAAACTTTCCCCGCAGTGAGAACACGCTAAAGGAGGTTCTCCAGCATGCATTATCTGACGACTTTCAAGGTTTGTCTTCACCTGGCCTTCCTGCTCAGGCGAATGTGAAATCTGGTGTTTTCTTTTATGCTGGTTAAAGGCCCACTGACGAGTGAAACTCTTCCCACACACAGAGCAGATATTTTTCCTGGTTGCCTTATAAGCTTTTCGACCGGCCAAAGCCTGCCCACCCACTTCTGGGGGCCTCTCCTTTCTGCGCCCATTCTCCTGGTCACAGAACTGAGGGCCGTTGCCACTGGCTCTCTCGGAAGAGATCCTTCGCAGCTCCCTCGGGCGAGAGCTTTCTTCTCGACGCCTCTCCTCGTCTTCATATACTTCTTCGCCACCTGGTGAAAGGACAAGCAGTTCTTCAGCTTAGACTTTGCATGAGCCAAGCTAATAAGTTTCACTTGGTTAGCTGGCACTTTAACTCAGCCATTCTCAACCTTTTTTAAAAAACTACCATAAATATGGTCAATGATTTTTTAAAAAAAAAATCAAAATGATTTAAGTCACAATTTAAATGTTTTAAGATTTGATATTTTATTTAAGTTGTAAAAAAAAAAGATTTTACAAGTTTAACTTGTGATTTGAATCAAATCCACTCTGCGGATAAGGCCAATATGAAAGAAATATGAACCGAATCGGGATTGTTTAAATCGTATAACAAACCTTATGAAATGGTGCGTGAAGAATTGTTTCTAGTCTGTGGCCCCCTTCAAGGGTTTGAGGGCTCCCCAAAGAGGCATATGGCCTCTGTTGAGAATGGCTGATTCAACTGACAGAAAATTGAGGGGGGGAACATGGAGGGGGGAACCCAGACCATATCCTTCTGCACAAGAAAAGCCATTTTTTATAACCCGTCAAAATCATGAATCTTGCTTTTTAAGCACAAGTTTGAGGCTTTCCCCCCCTCTCTCTGGATTCTTCCCTCAAAGAACCCAGATTTTGCCCAGTATCCTTTTGAGCTTGTGATGAACCAGATAGCATAGGAACACAGGATCACACTGTTTGCCGAAGTGTTGCCATGGACTCAATGGAGGGCTAGTTTTCCTAATACAGATCCAGCATGGATTTGATTTAAACCACATTTTATTTTATTTTTTAATTGGAATTTTGACCATTTAGACCAATTTGATTTTTTTAAAATCACTGATTTTTATCTGCCCTGTAAGATCACTCACTACCTTGAGTGGCAACAACACCTGATCAAGCACCCTAATCTCACCTTAATAGGGTGGCGGGATCTTCCAATAAGCAGAAGCTTAAAAGGATGCTGGCCTCTGCCATACACGCCAAGCTTTTTAAAGGTTTCAACATTCCCTTGTTCCTCACAAAATGCTATCTATCTATCTATCTATCTATCTATCTATCTATCTATCTATCTATCTATCTATCTATCTATCTATCTATCTATCTATCTATCTATCTGTCTGTCTGTCTGTCTGTCTGTCTGTCTGTCTATCTATCTATCTATCTATCTATCTATCTATCTATCTATCTATCTATCTATCTACTGCAAACACTACACACACACACACACACACACACACACACACACACACATATACATACAGTGGTGCCTTGCTTAGCGATGTTAATTCGTTCCGGAAAAAATTGCTGCTAAGCAATAACTTCACTAAGCGAAATAAAAAAGGCCACAGAAACGCATTAAAATGCAATTAATGCGTTCCTATGGGCTTAAAACTCATCGCTGACCGAAGATTCTCCATAGCGCCGCCATTTTCGGTGCTTCTAAAGCGAGGAATCTGTCCCAAAAAACAGCGGGCGGACATTTTGTTTCCCCAGCGGCCATTATGAAACCGCTGATAAGCTGTGCGAAAATGGGGGCTTTGCGATGATCGCTTCCCTGTGATCATCGCAAAGCGAAAATACCCCATAGGGAACATCGCAAAGCAATTGCTTTTGCGATCGCAGAAAGTTCATCGCTATACGGAGCAATCGCTATGCGAGGCACCACTGTACTGTGTGCAGGTGTGTGTTTGCTATTATCCACGGTTTTAAATATCTCCAGTGTGGCTTGGAACCAATTCCCAGTGGATCCTGCTATATTTAATTATGGGTGCCACACCACCAGTCTCTTTTCCAGCCCATGTCCCTCATTTGTTCCTCCTAGAGCAGTGGTTCCCAACCTTCGATCTCCAGATATTCATGGACTAAAATTCCCAAAAAGGTTCACCATTAGCTGTGCTGGCCAGGATTCCTGGAAGTTGTAGTCCAAGAACATCTGGGTGACCCAAGACTGGGAACCACTGCCCTAGAGTTTGGTCTCCAGAGCCTTCATCATTTTCAGTCTTTCACTTTTGACAATCTTTTCAGTGGCTGCTCCTGGACTATGGAACTCCCTTCCACATGAGGCCCACCTGAACCCCTCCTTTCTGCCACCAGGCAGAGACCTTCCTTTTCAGGGAGGTGCTTAATAGGTGTCACTTAGAAAGGTACTTTACTGGGAGAAATGTTACTCTGTCTGTTTAAAACCAGTTTAAATAGGGTTTTATATTCTGCTTTTTAATGATCACTAGGTTGAATTGCTTCTCTTCTTATATTTTTGTAATTGTTCCAACGTTTGTGCCTTTAAACCTTTCGTAAGCCGCTTAGGGTCTCTTTACGGGGAGAACAGTAGGGTAGAAATGAAATAAACAAGCCCACCAAACTATGGACTACAGTGGTGCCTTGCTTTATGATTGCCCCGTATTACGACAAATCCACTTAACGACAATCTTTTTGCGATCGCAATTGCAATAGGAAAACGATTGTCTAAATGGGGGAATTTTGCTTTGCGATGATCGGTTCCCTGCTTCGGGGACCGATTTTCGCTTTACGATGATTGAAAACAGCTGTTGGGTTTTCAAAATGGCCACCAGGTGCTTAAAATGGCTCCACGCTGTGTTTAGGGACGGATTCCTTGCTATAGAGGCAGCGCAAATGGCCGTCGTATGGAGGATCTTTGCTGGACGGTGAGTTTTTACTCCACTGGAACGCACTGAACGGGTTTCAATGTGTTTTTTTTCCGCTTTACCATGTTTTCGCTTAACGGCGATTCTACTGGAACGGATTATCGTCGTTAAGCAAGGCACCACTGGACTGGAATCAGTTATTCCATAACAGGCCAGTCTCCTTCAATGATTTCCTACATGATGCTGATTTCTCGGCTGCAGGGAATCCTTTACCTGACAGGTCAGCGTCGGAGAAATCAGTGAGGTCTTCTGCCCGGGATTCTCTGCACAATTGCAGCCCCTCTTTAGCATCCAGTGAGGCTCCTTCCCCCTCTGGCAAATTCACAGATCCTTCCCCTTGGGGCTCGGTGGTCTGCAAGGAAAACCAAAAGCCCAGTAAGTAGCCAGTTCTGGTAACACATGGTGAAAATACCTTTTTTGGGGATTTTTTTCTTTTACCACACTACAATATGTTTGCTATTATCCACAGCTTTCCAGTCCTCCAAAGGAAGAATAGCAGTCTAGCTGAGGACAAGAATGCCTAGCCTGTCTTCACACTTAAATGCTCAAAGGAAGAGGCCTGGTGTTTTTCTGGGATATTAACACTTTAAATGTGGGGATTCTGGAATGATCTAAAAAAACTCCGCCCAGACCACATTCCCCCAGGAGTAATCTTTTGGTGTCCATGCACAGAGAGTAGCCATTTGGAACCATCCAGGGGTAAAGGAGGAATGTGAAATTAAAAAATTACAAAAATGCCACCGTGGTGATCAACTTAACCATCGTTAAAAGTACTATTCCCAGTAGGACCCCTGTATCCACGGGATCGGTATGTGCGGTTTCACTTATTTGCATTCTAAAAATATTAAAAACATTAAAAGAAATAACCCAGAAATATGTAAATACATCATTCTTCAGTGAGAGAAATGGCCACTGATGCTGTCCATGCTATGTATTATCTGCGGTTTCAGCCTCTGCACTGGGGGATCTCATCAGGCCTGGAACCGATCCCCCACAGATATGGGTGTCCTACTGAACCTTTAACAGTCATCAAGAGTTGAGAGGTCCATCCAAGAACAGACAAGTCTGCCACCACACATATATAAAAGAAAAATCTTTGCAGCCTTCTCTTTACATCAGTTTCACACCTCTGGGAGATTTGAAAGAGTGTTATTCCACTTGGGGGGAAAAAAGGACATGCTTCCTAAGCACCATCTTTTAAATGAAGGACAGGCAAAGTGATTCCCTGAGCGCTCCCTGAAAGGACAGACCCTGAAGCTGAGGCTCCAATACTTTGGCCATCTCATGAGAAGAGAAGACTCCCTGAAAAAGCCCCTGATGTTGGGAAAGTGTGAAGGCAAGAGGAGAAGGGGACGACCGAGGATGAGATGGCTGGACAGTGTCTGCGAAGCAACCAATATGAATTTGGCCCTGCTCCGGGAGGCAGTGGAAGACAGGAGGGCCTGGCATGCTCTAGTAGTCCATGGGGTCACGAAGAGTCGGACATGACGAAACAAAAACAACAACAAAGTGATTCCCAGAGGCCACCTGGGGAACTAAATGGGGCCTCTTTTTTTGGGGGGGGGGAGAGGGAGGGCCTTCCTGGCTACTAGACTCCTATATTTTTTTTGCTCTAATGAAAAGAAAAAGGAAAGGGGGAAAAAAGCCCCAACCCTAATTGGTTGAGGTCTCTGGCTGCAGAGCCAGAGTTTCATTTGCCACTGTGGCTCTTCAATGGACGATGGACTAGATGATCTCTAGGGTCCCTTCCAGCTATGCAGTTCTACTAGTCATGCACTTGCCTCTCCCAGAGGCCTCCCTCCAGATGGGAGAAGCCTGTCTAGACGTGGCCCCCCCGGGGGTCTCACATTTCCTGCCCTTGGGCTGTAGCTAATTTTGAGTCCTAGTCCTGCTCACGATGGGGATCCCGTTCCCTCTTACCTGTTCTTCTTTTACTCCGGGGACGCACTGACTGTGCAGGAACTCCTCAGCCAGGGACACGGCTTGGGTGCTACTCTCCAAGGGATGCTCCTTGACCCAGGTCTGGATCTCCGAGGGCAGGATGGTCAGGAACTGCTCCAGAATCAGCTCTTCCAGGATCTGCTCCTTCGTCTTCTTCTCCACCTTCAGCCACCGAGAACAAAACTCCCGGAGCCGGCCGTAAGCCCCTCTCGGACCGTCAGCCTCCTGGTAGCAGAAGCTCCGGAAGTGCTGGCGGCTCTTCTCCCTCATCAAAGCGTCTTCCTGCAAGATGGCTGCCTTCACTTTCCCATAATCCTCTCGGTCTCCAGCCTCGAGGCTGCTGAAGATCAGCTCAGCTTCTCCTGTAAGGGCGGGCAGGAGTCGGGCTGCCCACTCTTCCCGGGGCCAACGGCAGGCTTCGGCCACTTGCTCAAAGGCCGCCAGAAAAGCCTGAGCGTCATTCCATGGGGCGCTCTCCTGTGGAAACTGGGGGTCTTGTGGTGGGGAAGGAGAAGCCTCCACCCTGCTGAGAAAGTTCTGCAACTGAGTTTCCCAGAGTTGGACCGTTTCCTCTTGAGGTTCCTCCTTGACTTCGTGTTGAATTCCCACGTTTCTGAAGGATATCCGAAGGCCCTTAGAATGCACTGCTTCAGGGGCTTGAGTTCCCCTGCCTGCATCGTCCGGTTGTCCTATCGGTAGAGCTAAGAACATTAAACACACAAATTACCTATACAGTATAAGCTCAGGCTTGAGCTGGGACAAGTTACGTGGATGCCGAAAACTGTGGATAATAGTTAACACAATACATAGCAGGGTAAAAAAAATCCAGAAAATAAGTATTTTCACTATGTACTACCAGAACCCGACACTGGAGGGGGCCAGAGACCATGCTATGTACAGTATTGTTTAACAAGCATACATAGCATGGTCCACCCTCTAGTGGCTAATTCTGGTAAATACATCATGAAAATATGTCCTGGATCTTTTTCTTTTCATCTTTTTATATTTTCAGACAGTGGATAAGTGAAACCACAGATACCAATCCTACAGATATGGGGGTCCTACTATAGTGATGAAAGGAAAAACATTAGTCAATAATATAAGACTAAAATCAATACACAGATGAAACAAATACTACAAGAGGTCAACTCACCCCTCAGTAATGGTAACTAAGGGATTCTAGGAAGTAGTTACCCCACTTCGAAAAGTAACTTTACCCAGCTCTGTTTTAAAGACTATCCATTTTATAACAGCACATGTATTCAAGAATAGAGCCCACTTCATCAGATCTTCTGCCACTGGAGATATCAGGAGCTGTAGTGCAACGATAATCATATTTCCAAATGGTAGTCATTCATTCATTCACTCATTCATTCACACCCCACTTTTCCCCAAACATGGGACCCAAGGTGAATTTCAAATGCCTCCAGGCAGTCAACACTAAATAAATCACAACATTAAAAAACAATTTAGTACGTACAATGGTACCTCGCAAGATGACGACCCCACTAAACGACAAATCCGCATAATGATGACTTTTTGTGATCGCTATAGCGATTTGCAAAACAATCATTCTAATGGGGGATTTTCGCTGGACGTCGATTAGGTTCATGTTTCGCAAACCATTTGTTCACAAGACGACCATCTTCTCGGCTTCACAAAATGGCTGCCCTGTGTTTTCCGGACCCATGCTTCGCAGGGCAGCCATTTTTACAGCTGATCGGCGCTCGCAAAATGGCTTCTCTATGGGCGATCATTGCTGGACAAGGAGGTATTTTCCCCACTGGAATGCATTAAACAGGGTTTCAATGCATTCCAATGAGGAAAGGGTTTTCGCATGATGACGATTTCGCTAAACAGCGATTTCAGTGGGATGGATTATCACTGTCATGCGGGGCACCACTGTATTACAAATTGGCTCAAGTTCTGTTGCTTAGCATACGGACTCACACTAGAGCAGTCCCACTGAATCAATGGGGATTTGGTGAGTCAACTCCTCCAAAAGATCCCCTGGTTCTACACTGGCAGTGATCTACTCTGCTAAAGCCAATCAAAGTTAGAGGAGACCAGTTTCAACCAATGGAACTTACAGAGGGAATGACTCACTAAATCGCCTTAACTGAATGGGCTGACGCTAGAGCAATTTACTATACTAAGTAATAAGATTCGGACCCTTAAAATTATTAAATGAAAACAATCTGAAATAATTTAGAAGCTCCAACCAGAATCCCTCAGTAAAAAAAACCCTCTGTTTTGGCCACCAATTGCTTACTTAAAGCCTGTCTGAAG